ATAGACTCCAGAACGTTTAATGATGGGCACATTTTTATTTATCCTTTTCAAAGTTTCAAAGAAACGTCAGTAGCCATGATGCTTGCTCAGTTTAGATGGCTTAGAAGAAAAGCAAAAACTCTTTAAAAAGCATCCTCTGAAATATTACATTAAAAATTTTATTTATGATTTGTGGAACGAAAAAAAACCCGTTTTTTCTAGTCTTGAATGTATACTTTGTGCACAAACTTAGTGATCAGTGAAGATGACACGAAATGATTTGCAATCTTGATTGTTCATATCCCTAAAATTTGTGAAGATGAGTGCTTTTTAATTAATCGACATTGATAAAACTGCACACACAACAAAGCGCTTGGCGAATTGTCTCTTTTACTACTTGTCTTACTTCAGCAATCTTCCAGCAATAAAGAAATGGGTTAAGTGATGAGTTAAAATACACTAATGAAACTGATGGTGCCCAAGCCAGAAAGTACGATGAAGACATTGTTATGTTGTTACGTGATGCCATCACAACGAGATATGGAAGATAACAGAGAGCCATTGCAAGCTGAACCCACACTGCACTATGCACTGCTTTTCTGTATCGCCCAATGTCAAGTGGAACTGTTAACTTTGGATGTGCTTCCTGCACACGTTTATAAACTTCAGTTTGACTGCGACGAAGCTTGAGGAAAATGTAAGTGTACGAGACGGCTGTGATCGCAAGACACTATAGTAATACGGCCATACCGGACAGTAATACGGTGGCTTGCGAGATACAATAGCGCAACGACACAGGAAACTACCCAAAAGGTCGTTACAACTGCATATGTTCGCTTTAATGTTACAACCTGTTTGTACCTTAGCCCCAGTAAGAGAGCGAGAAGCCTGTCCACACTTATCGCAGTCAACGTCAATATAGATACTGACGCCAACACGTCATAAACCAGAGACATCCAATAGGCAACATTAAGAGGTTCTGCAACTAGGCCAACACAAAGATCAGTTGTCGCCAAATTATGAAAC